CAGGGCTTGGGGACTTGAGAGAGGAAGAGGGGGGTGGGGGAGGGAGGAGGATGGGACAAGGTCAGAGGGGGCCTTTCAGAGGGCTCTGGGAGGTGCTGGTTCCAGGGGCCATCCTGGCCGCTGGGTGGGGGAAGGGGGGAGATTTGGATGGGAGGCGGGGTGGGGATCCCCAGAGAGAGAGAGCAATGGGATTGATTGGAGCCATGGGATTTGCAGAGATGAGAAAACAGGAAGGTCAATGACAAAGGACATTGAGGCAACCAGTGAGGTAGGGGGCCCTGCTGCCGGCTCCCCCGAGCGGGGGAGGGAGGGGAGGAGGGGGACGGGACGCAGGATCCCAGAGGTTCCACCCAAGTCTGATTCTTTGCAAAGGCAACTCAGAGATGAATGTGGCAGAGCCTTTCTCACGTCCCCCTCCCCTGGCCTGGCACACACAGGCACGCCCAGCCTCAGTCACGTGTGCACCCCCCAGCACATACCCCTTCACCCTCATGTGCACGCACACTCACTCAAGCACACACACACCCTACATCCCCGCCAGGGCTCAGGAACCCCTCGGGCATCTCCCCAGGTTGGTCTTTGCATGGCTGATGACCGTGCACGGATGCCAGCGGTCAGGAGGGCCACTTCTGAAACAGCGGCCTCCGAAGCCCAGTCTGCCCCAGAGGGGCCTGTCAGACGGAAAAGGCCCTCGGCCTCACCCGGAAGGCAGCTGGATGAGGAGAGCAAGTCCCCATCTGGATAGCCAGCATTTTAGATGAATCGACATGTGAAAATCTGGGTTGTCACAGACACGTACACACACACACACACACACACACACACACACAGCCTCTCAGAGAGTTGCGTGTGCCCCTCGTTTTCTGCCCAGAGATCCCAGGCAGCAGGCTACACCCCATCCCCAATAATGCAGAGCTTTCGGGGTGCATCACCCTTTGGGTATCCTCACCTCACTGCTGCCTGGCGAGGTGTCCTACCCCCACCCCGCAGCTGAAATGACAGAGGCTTTTGCTGGAAAGGGGAGCAGAACCGGTCTGCGGGGGACAGAGGGGCCTAACCCCCAGGGAAGTCGGCACTCCAGCTGCTCACCAGCCAAGGACGAGAGTTCTCAGCGGCTGTCACATCGACACACACACTGGCACACAGATAAACACACTGACAGTGACTCACGCGTACACACTGACGCGAACACACGCACAGAAATGTGGAACTCTGGGTCCTCGGTTGGTCTGAATGGCCCTCTCTTTGCGTGGGAGCTTTCTCTGTGAAATGGTCCCATCTTCACACAACCTTCCAGGCTGCCCCCCAGCTGCCACGTCTCCTAAAATCCTCAGAAATTAGGAAAAATTCCTTTAAAATTCACACCTCAAATGTTAGGCTTACACAATATTTCGAAATTCGGGGGCTCGGTCTTTAGCTGAGTCTGACGTGGGCTTCTTACCAGGCAGTAGGGGCAGGTAGGACCCTGGCCGGGAGTAGGACGCAGAGCATGGGTTGGGGTGGGGGTCCCCGCCCACCCCAGCCCCCAGAGCTGGGAGCAGACTCTACAGAGCAAGAGATGGTTAAGCTAAGGGCTGTGGGAGTCAAAGATAAGGCTCTGAGAGTCCCAGCTACTCCCCGACCTTCCTCAAAGGACTTTGCTCCTGCCGAGCCTCAGTTTCCCCATCCGTACAGTGGGTGTAATGCACCTCACGGGGCTCGGGCGAGAGTTAAATGATGTCATACCTATAAAGTTATGAGCACCGGAAGCCCAAGAAAAAGGAAGTGGGAGGTGGATGGGAAAACCGGCAGTCAGCGGCCTCCCTGGCCAACCGGGCTGAAAATAAGCTGCATTTTCCTTTTCTCCGAGGCCGAAGCCGAGCTTCCCATAGGACCGTGCCTGCTTATCAGGAGCAAAGCTGCTCCCTGCGCCAGAAGGGGACTGTGGGGGCTCCGGCTCCTCCTCCAGCCTCCAGCCCGACTCCCACGGAGGCGAACGCTGATCCCTCTCCTCCCGGCTCCCGCTTCCACACTCCCCACCCTAAACCCACAAACAATTTTGCATATATTTAAATCTCCTCTGCTGTCTCCAGTCTTGAGCCCCCCTTCGCTCCCCTCCCCCCCCAAAAAAAGAGAGAAAGAAATTACAAAAGCCTGTCATTTGTCTCCGTCCCCGCACCCCATCTATCAGGCCGCCGAGCCCGTCGCCTCGAATGAGGTGCGCGCCCGGACGGCCGCTTTAATGGGGCGCCGCGTGTGACTGCGCGGCGCGGGCGCAGCCGGCCGGTATTTGCATACATATTAAACCGGAGCAGTAAAAAATGCAGACATGCAAACCATTTGGACGGGCTCCTCGGCGCAGAGCCGGCCAGGAAATCAATCTTCTGCTTTCTTAAAGGCAACCTGCTCAGGGGGGAGGCGGCGGAGCCGCGAAGCCCGCGGGCCCTGGGAGGGGGCAGCCATCATCTGTCCTACTGTCCGCCAGAGCCCAGTCAGCTGTGGCGGTCCTTCCCGACCACGCACGGCCTGCTGGAGCCACCGACAGAGAGCCAGGGGAAGGGGAGCCATCATCTCCCTGGGCGAGTCTTGGCTCAGCCTGCTGTGTGCCCTAGAGTAAGAGTCTGGGCCCTTCTATGCTTCCCTAACCTGGCGATACTGACAACTTATCACCATCATCTCAGCGGGTGCTGGAGATTTCCCCCTGGCTTTGTGGCTCTGGGGCTTAAGCCACTCACCCAAGGTGGCCCAGCCCCTCTGTACAGAGCCTGGATCCCAAGCGAGATGCAGAGGAGATTGGCCAAGGGCACAGGAGTTCAAAGTCAGGCTCCACTCAATGCAAGCTGTGTGACCTTGGGCAAGTGCATCAATCTCTCTGTTTCCTGAAGAAGAAAAAAATGGATACCTCCCACTTAGGCATATTGAATTAAAGTAGGTCAGTCACCGCCTGGCACACAGTAAAGACTCACTCAGTAAACGGCGGCAGCTCAGATCGTAGGAGGGAAAACTTGCAGTTATTGGTGTGGTTTCCGGGTTAAAATCCCTCCTTTGGGTGAGCCACATCTCCCATGAGCCTCCTTACCTGTAAATGGGGTCTCGATTCTCACAGGACCCCGCTAGCTCACACGGATCACCTGCCCCACCCTCCAGAGACATGGGGTCCCAGGAGCTCCACTGCTGACTCCAGCCACCCGTGGCCAAGGCGCCACCTCTGAGGGCCGCCGAGCCCTGTCATCTCCTGGCTGCTTAGGCAAAGCCCAGGGCCTGGATGGAGGGGACACCTCGACAAGCCCCAAACAGATCACACATCTGTGGTACCAGGAAGGCAAGCGACCCCGAGCCTCGGCAGAGCCAGACCGCTGCTGCCACTCCCCCCACCCTCTCTTCCAGTTTCCAAATGAGGAAGCTGAGGTCCACAAAGAGGTGCCACCGCCACGAAGCTCGAAGGTGGTGGAGCTGGGATTCGAACCGGGTCTGGATGACTGCAGAGGCCTCCTCGGGTCCCTTGGAAATTCTGTCCGCAGACGGAGCTCATTCTGCAGGATCAGGGAACGCTGCTCCCTCAAAAAAAAAAAGGCGCGTGCTTGTGGAGAAAGAAATCCATTTGTGCCTGAGCTCAGAATAACATTCGGCGCCGTGACGGCCCTTCCTTGAAGGAAACCGGAGGAAAGAAGGCAACGAGGCCTTCGAGAACCAGTCGTTCGGCCTTTTTCCATTCACTCCACACTCCTGCAGGCGAGAAATGGAGGTGACCAGTGTGCCCAGGACGGGCAGAGCAGTGGGCAGTGCTGGGGAGGGTGTGGGGGAGGGTCACGCTCAGCCGGATGACAGCCGCCGCCGTCTCTGAGACCCCGGGGCTTGAGTGAACAACCAGGGCTGGGTGGTCTTTGCCTTCAGTCGGGAGAAGGTCCCCTGTGATTCAGAGCTTCCCACCTGAGTAGCAAGGTGACCTCCCTGTGGTGCCACGGGAAAAGAAAAGGCCAAATCCAGGGCGTGGCCCAGTTCGGTGGTGTCTTGCTGTGTGACCTTGGGCAAAGGCCTCACCCTCTCTGTACTCTGTCTCTTTGGAAGCCCCTCCCTTTCGCTCCTGGCCTCCAGGCTCTCTGTGCCTCCATCCCTCCACCTCTCTCTACAGGCCCCGGAGTACAGGCCTCCCCCACTGCCTGGCAGGCAGTGGGTGGAGGAAGCTGGCAGGGCGGGAAAAGGCGGGAGGGGCAGGAGTTACAGGAACCGGCTGGGCCTAGGCGATTGCTCAACTGGGGAGCCTGGCCGGGCCAGCCTCCACAGGCCCCCACTTCCACCAGCCCGCCCTCCCTCCTAGCTCTGCATTGCAAACATTCCTGGCCAACCTCGGCTGCAGCAGCCCCGGAAGGGGGAACTGCCGCAGACACAGCACGAGGCCACCAGAAACACTTAACCCCTTCCCTGCTCCCAGGCAGAGCCTTCAGGCGGGAGGATGGGCTGGGCGGCGGTGCCAGGGTTCCCAGGCTCTGAGTGCCCCAGCCAGGTGACTCGCTGGCAGCCGGGGCTGGCCCCAGGTTACTAACCTGGATCAACAGGCTGTATGTCAGGCTCACACAGTCTCTAGCCGTGGATTCACTCAGCAGACATTTTCAGAGCTGCCCCTGGGTGCTGGGCACCGTGCCTGGCACTCGGCGTGAAAATCCGACAGGGAGTCTCTCGTGGAGCTCACGTTGGGGTTGGGGGGGAATCGGATAAACAGGCGTTTTCAGATCATTGCATTGTGAGTGCTACAAAGGAGAAGTACAGGGTGAGCCAGAGCGTCAACTAAAGTGGCTCAATTAGGGAGGGAGGGCTTCCTGGAGAAAATGACACTTAGTGAGCCAGGAGAAGACGGGGAGAGAGAGTGTTCCAGGCGGAGGACGCAGCAAGCGTGAGGCTCTAGGCAGAAGAAAGAGGTTGGTACAGTCCAACCTGTGTGTCTGGAGGAGAGAGGGTGAAGGGTGGGGAGTCCCCAGGTGGGAGAGCTCGGCCTGTGTCAGGCCCCAGAAGGCCTTGGGGCCACGCCTGGGCTTGGACTGTCTTCCAAGGGCAGTGAGGAGCCATGGGAGGGTTTTACTTGGGGAGCGACATGGTCAAGTCCAGCTCTAGGCACTGAGATTTACGCAAGTGACAAACAGAACCTTAACGGAGAGAGGGAACTAGCACATTTTCATATATAAACCAATATACTCTAAGACCAGACACCTGAACCACGCCAAAGTGCCACCAACAGGAAGTATTTCGAATGGCAGCCTGGCAGCTGGACTTGGCACCGGCTTCTCCTGGGGCACCGGTGGCTACTCTGAGCCCTGCCATCCCCGGGCCAGCGAGAGGCCGCAGGCTCAGTTTGGCTTCTCCTCCCAGGATGGGGTCCGCCCCTCCCACACTTCAGACACCACTCTGCAGACAGCTGGAGCTCAATAAATGCAGCAATTACAGGGTGTTGAAGTTGGGAGGGGCTGAGAGCTCATCCAGGCCTACAGCCTCCTCACTGCACAGATGAAACTGAGCCCCAGAGGCAGCAGCGGCTGGCGGGCCACCGTGGTCGGGCCACCATGCATATGCCCATATGCCTCGGACACAGTAGGACCAAGGGGTGTGCATCTGAGATGCCCACGGCCCGTATCCAGAGAGGAAGCCAGCTTGCCCGTGACCTTGACATTCACAGAGGATACCCCCAAATCTCTGAGATGCCCCCATCCAAAGCCTCCTTCCTTTCTCCACCTCTCACGAGGCCTCAGGTGTCTTCAGGAGGCAGGGGCCAGAGAAACAGAGATGCAAGTCCCGAAAACCAAGAACCGTTTGGAAATGGGCAGCCCCCTTAGAGCTTGAAGGAATGAGCCAGCGGACGAAGTAAATTGGCGGGAAAGTTCTGGAGTGTATTGTTTTCACCGTGGACGCGTTTCCTTTTCTTCTTCTTCTTTTCTTTCTTTTCTTTTTTTAGTGAAGTATGACTCAGAACACAAATGTACCAAAGAGACGAAACGGCGCTGTCCAGATTGGAGAGGAAGGGGTGGTCCGAGACCGGCCCCGTGCACACTCGCGTGGGCTCTGTGTCCACCCGGCCAGCTCCGGGCTCCTCAGAACAGACCGAAGGCCAGCCCAGGGCCGAGGAAACGGAGGCCCAGGGAGGTGGAGGCACTTGCCCAGAGTCACACAGCCCTGAGGGAGGGAGGCAGGTGCTCCCAGGCCATCCTGACCCCCAGACCGCTTCTGTCGGCTCAGGCCCAGGCTGCGGGATCAGGAAGCAGCACCTGTCTTCCGTTTTCTGAGCGTGTCTATGCCTGGTCTGTTTGTTGGGACAGCACATGCAGCCAGGGCTCCCTGAGTCCTGCTCAGCGGGTTAAGACTTCCGAAGGGAAAACACGCCCAGGACGCTCCCCGTGTTGAAACCTTGCACAGACAGGACAGGAAGGGGCTGGGCCAGCTCCGTGCCTGCACATGCCCCCAGGAAGGAGGCGCTGAGGTCCTTCCAGCCTCCTGGAGTCACCCCTGCAGGAGGCGCGAGCAGCAGCTAATGTCTATTTTGTGGCTCTGGGTCCATTCTTAGTTACAGAGCAAGGCTCCTTCCAGGTGATGATGCTTCTACAAGGGTTCTTCGAACCTGGGTGCCACCACCTTGGTGACCCGCCATCGGCTTTGCCACGGTAAAGCATTCTAGAACCCTTAGGCTGGGCCAGGGATTGTCCCTGAACCCTCATCACAACCGGAAGAGTTCACCAGTTATCACCCCATTTTACAGACGGGAAACTGAGGACCATGAAGTCACTTGCCTGGGTCACACAGCTAATGACAGACATGGGCAGGTCCGGGATGCAGGTGTCTCGGGCACCCAGGTGCATGCTCTCACCACGAGAGGCCTCACTGCCTCCCAGCCCGGAAATGCGACCACTTGTCGCAGCGATGAGTCCCTGGCAAACTGAAGTCTCCCCTGGCTCACTCCGATTCCTCGTCTTGTTAACGTACATGAAATAAATATTTGCTCTCACCTATTTCTGGTTTGTTTATCTTTGGCATTTATCCATTTATCCATCCCGTTTACTCTCTACTCCAACCTTCTCCACGTGGGTTCACCTGAGTCACCAGTTTTGTCCCTGAACTTGCAGAAGGCAGAGCAGCCTGTGTCGCCGTACTGGTCATCACACACACACAAAGCTCATTTTATGATTTCATGGACATGTGTGGCCTAACTTGGAAATTTCGGTGGAACCTACTGCTTGGGGACAGGGAGGGCACAGCGCCATGATGCCCGAGAGGCACCAGGCACAGGTGAGCGCTCGACAGATGGGACTGCAATATCATTCTTGCGGTCGTTCACTGGGATTTGGCATGGCTGACAAATTCCTAGTCTCTTCCTCCGCCCTCTGCATCACAAGTGAGCAGGTTCACTTCTCAGAGTTACTCTCCGGCACTAAATGGTTGAAAACCAACTGTGTGAATGAGGTCAGTTATCTGTCCTTGGACTGAAGTGATGGTTATCGTCCTAGTCAGCCTGCAAGGTGGTCTCCAAATGATTCCCATCTCCTGGCATTTATGTCTCTGTAGGCCCCTCCCACAAGGACTAGGCCTGCCCTGTCCTTTCCACCAATAGGACATGGTGGAAGTGACCACATGTGCGGTCTGAGGCTAGGTCATAAAGGACATTGCGGCTTCAGTCTTGTTCTCTTGCATCCCTCCCTCTGGCGGAAGCCAGCGCCGTATTGAGAACAAACTCAAGCGACTCTACAGAGAAGTCCCCATGGCAAGGAACCGAGCCCTCCCGCCAACAGCCAGCGCCGTCTGGCCAGCTGTGTGAGTGCACCTTCTTAGAAGTCCGTCCTCCAGCCTGAGTCAAGCCATGAGATGGCTGCGGCCCCAGCTCCCGGCTGACGTCTTGACTGCCACCTCCAAAGAGACCACAAGCTGGAACCAGCCAGTTATACCCTTCGGAATTCCCTTCCCACAGAAACCATGAGATAATAAAATGCTTATTGTTTTAAGCCACTTCGTTCGGGGTGACTTGTTATGCAGATAACTAATTACTAATTAGGTAACTGATACAAGAACAGAGAGACCTTTTGGTTGTGAGGGCCTGTCACTGTCTGGGTTCCCAAAGTGTGTTCCTTGGAACACCGATCCCGGAATATGCTCAGGAAAGCGACGATCCATCTAATAAGGGCAGACTGTGGACTTCGGCCTCTTATTTGAGATTCTCAGTGCAGACCCCGGTGGGCTGGGAAACCCGGGAGTCTCCTAAGCCAGCGCCTCTCAGCAGTCTCCGGGGAAGAGCAGCATCACAGCTTCAGAGCATCCTGGGAAAACCAGCCACACTGTCATGGCGGCAGGCTTCTCCAGAGCATTAAACAACTGTGCCCCCATGTAAAAACAAAGCTACTCCCGGCCTGATGGTCAGAGTGTGGCCCGTGGCATTTTGTGCAAAGGCAAGAAGGCCAGCCGACCACGACCGATGGTCCGTCTGGGCTCTTTGTCTCCATCTGAGGAATTGGTTTGTCCTGGGTCCCCTCTGGTCCCACCTGTCTTAACAATCAGTGAGTGATATCGGTCAGGGCTCAGGGCCAGTGTCTGGCCGTGGATCTCAGCCCATTTGGGATTCAGAGTTGGTTTCCAAACTCCAGCTCCAGCTCTCATCAGCTCCAAAACCCATAACACGTGGGCCATGCTGTGCCCCGGAACTCTCTACACGCTTTCCCAACGCCAGTGCCTCGGAGCTGGATATTTCTCTGTGAGAATGCAACCAGGGTCTTAAAACACGAACCACTGGAAAACAGCGTCTGATATAGAAAAATCTGTTTTACAGGCAACTTTTTAAGAGCAAATGCACCCCCTTCAGCAAGGAAAGGTTGTGCTCAGAAAAACCAAATTCTTTCGGGCCCCTGGGGCTGCACAGGGGCAGGAACAGAGATCTTGCTGCTCGATAGGAAGCAGAGGTCTTTTCTTTCGTTGAAAACATAATTTTACCCTCATGTCGCTTCATCTTTCCCAGCATGGACATTCTGGGGCTCTCACGCTAGTCTAGAGCCATCACTTCCAGACACCGAGTGGCCCGCCCTCCTCCTCAGGCCAGAGGTCCCAGTGTGGGCACCCTGCTACTCGGAGTGTGGTCCCGGCTGGCCCGCATCTTCCTCATAAGGGAGCCCCAGTCCGGCCCTCTGCATCAGAATCTGCATTTAAACAAAATTCCCAGGGGATTTGAGGCATGTTAAAGGTGGGGAATGCTCAGATGCACCCCAGAACTGCAGTCTCAAGGCGCTCTCAGCCTGCCCCCTCATGGGCTGCCATGCCCCCCGTCTTTGCTCCCCTCCCAGGTTCTCTGTCCCACCGCAGACAGCTTCTCAGAGGGGTTCCGTGTGCTCCCTAGAAAGCCAGTGAGATGATCAGGGCACGGCAGAGTGGAGGGCAGGAGACCCGAACAAGAGGTAGTGACGATAATGACACCCAGTCCTTACGGCACACTCACGCCCCGGAGGGAGGTTCAGAGAGAGGAAGCCATCCACCCAAGGTCACACAGCTGGCAAATGGCAGAGTCAGGCTGACCCCACAGCCACTGCTGCTCGAGGACTTCCTTGATGGGGAAATGGGTGGCTGTGGGGACTGTCAGCGAGCTGCACCCCCATCCTCACTGGCTTAGCCCAGTGGTTCCCAGTCTGGGTTTCCCTGAGGGGCTCCATGCTGTTTACAGTCTTTTGAAATCCATGATGGCCGCTGCGCCTTTACCGAGGGCCTGCGTAGGACATCGCGCTGCCTTGCTTTGGCTGGGATTCTGTCAACCCACTGTGCCCGTCAGACTCTCCGGGCTGGTGGGAGCTGAGCAGGCATCAGCGTTGCCCTTGATTGACCCCAAATGGGAACGAGTCTATTACTCAACGGATGCAGTTTGCATGTTGGGCAAACACAGGCCTGGGGGCCGAAAACAGCAGGGGGCCTTTTCTGGTAGGAACGTGGAGAGACGTTCATTTAGAAACTTGAGTTACTGAACGGAGGGCATTTGTCTCAATTATTTTTCAGCAGTGGCACCGCTTCGTTATATTTTCTTTAAAACGAAGCGAGCGCTTCCCCACCCCCACCCAGCCCTGCCGGTGCTGGGGGTGCAGAGGCAGCCCCCCGTGGGAGGCAATGACGTGAGGGGCAGACCGCGGCCCCGGCCCAGGTCTCCACCAGATGCTCTTCACTTCACATTCTCTGCGGAAGCTGACCTTGAGGACGACGTGTGGGCTCTTGTTTGCAGGTCTGCAGGCGAGCCTGGAGGAAGCCAGCCCCAGACAAACGAATTTCTGCAGAAAGCTACAAGACAGGTGTGGGCCTCTCCCTGCGGCTCCCATTGGGCTCCGCACCTTCCTTCTCACCTTGGGCGTGGCCGAATGTGCCTGTGAGGCCTCCTGGGCTTCTCTGGATCCCCTTGGGAGGAGCCCCGGAGCCCCGCCCCTCCTTGCGGAGCCCCGCCCCCACACCCCCAGGAGGTCTGCCGCCTTGGAGGTCTGGTGGGGAGAGCACAGAGATCAGTGGCGGTGGCTCGAGGTCCTATGCAGGCCCGGGGCCCGCGATCAACTGACTTCACCTCACAGCATCACCCGGACACACTGTCTCCATCTAGAGACATCTTGGTGGTGGTGGGGACTCCAGAGCTTATGCCTACTGAAGGCATCCTTCCATCTGGGACTTGAAGTCACTTCTGGCCACAGGGTTGCAGGGGAGGGGTACAGTTGCTTCTTAAAAATGATTCTCATGTGTCTGAGCAGCAGGAGCTGCAGACTACAGGCCGGAAGCCTCATGCCATGGGCTAGAACACCACAGGGAGGGACAAGCCAAGTGCACTTCAAACACAAGCCAAGAGGAGTCCATTTCAAGGTATAAAGAATGTACCATCCATCCATCAGCCACAGCAGAAGGTCTAGAACGCTGATCTCACGCACCGATTAGGGGGGTTTTTTAAAGCAAGGCCCTGTGGGGTCTTTCCAGCAATTCTTTATGGGGTGGGTCCGTCACACAGCCTTGGGTGCCCCCGTTACACCACTGGTCTGTGTAACCACCAGTGTTTTCACTGCTCTGTCGCTGTGTCCCCCCCTCTCCTAGGAGACGCAGGGCAGGGACTACCCCTGGCTCCTCTTTGTGCCCTGAAGTCAGGACTCAAAGTCCAGACGACGTGTTTCCCCCACCAAGAAGCTGAGCCCCAGCTGGAAGCAGCCTCCGATCTGCACCCAGGTCCAAAGCCAGGCTCGTCAGTGTCTCCCTGTGGAACCCTAAGCAAGTCACTTCCCCTCTCTGTGCCTCGTTTTCCTCGCCTGGGAAATGGCGAGCCCAGTCAGCTGCACCTTTGCGTGAGGACGACCTGAGCAGGTGAAGAGTTTCTCACGAGACACGCCCACGAGTGGGGTCTGACCACCCTGCCTTCCAGGGACCCAATACAACGCTGGGCTCGCGTCTGGCGCTCAGGTACGGTTCGTTGTTCAGATTTTCTTTTTTTAAACCAACATTTCTTAAAAGTATAGGGTTAAGAATTGTATATTATTTGTGGAAAATGCGATTTTTTAAAAAAAGAGACAGCTCGACCTCTTTCTCCCCACCTAGGACCAGGCATCAAGATAGGTACTTTTCCCTGCATGTCCCCATTTTACAGATGAGAAATCCAAGGCTCAGAGAGGTCACATGAGGTTTCCAAGGTTACTGAGTGGTAGAGTCAGACACTTAACCATCAGTGTCTCTTGTTTACAATCCCAGCCGAAAACCATTGCTTAAACCACTGGAACCACCACAGAGATAAGAAATAGTGATCAAATAACTGCACGTATGAATTAATCAGGTCAGAAATCACATAGTAAAGTCATATCCACTTCAAAGACTTCTCTGAATGGGAACCAATGTGACAAGGAAGGAAAATTTGAATCAGGGCACACGAAACAGCTGGGCAACTCCGGAGAGCGCAGCTTCCCCAAGACCGAGCCAGCTCTGGCCAACTTCCATCCATGTGCCTCGCAAGCAAGAAGCGGTAGGGAGGGGGCGGATTCAGTTCAGAAGCTATCAGGTCTTAGCACAAGGCCTGAGAAAGGTGGGTGGGGCGGGGGTAAGGGGAGTCATGCTCCATGCCTTTCTTGAGGTGGGGGGAGGTCTCAGAGAAGGTCTCTCAAGGATCCGTGTGAGATGGTAATTAGAATCTGAGCTCTCCAGAAACCTGGGGGGACCTCTCTGACCCTCAGTCTCTTCATCTGAACTGTGTCCAGCAAAGCTTTATTGTCCAGCTCTTCCTTGCGGAACTGGTACTGGGTGCCGGGGACCCAGCAATGAATGGGAGAGACCAGACTGGGACCTTCACCAAGCTCACTGCTTAACAGGGGAGACCGAAGGTGGCGACTAACAGATTCGGATGCCAGCTGTCAGGGAATGACATGGGGACAAGCATAACCTCTACCTCAGGCTGGCGGTGAGGGCTCAGAGTGTGCACCCAAGTCAAGGCCGAGCCCAGCGTGGAGCACATGGCGAGCACTCAGTCCGGGAAGACTGCTTTTGTTACTGCTGTTGCTATCGTTATGACTGAAACCTGAATAAAACTGGGCTGCCTTGGGGCCCAGTCTCATCGCCATGTCACATGCAAAAGAAACACCAGTCTGACATCCCCAAACCATCAGAAAGCAGTTTAAATCTTCCTGATCTCTCAGACAGACACCAAAGAGGCCGCCTTTGCACACCGCACATGAAAGCGTTCTCAAGACTCTGCCAATTTATCTGCCCGCGAGGTCTCATGGCAGCTGCTCCAGAAACGTCTCCCTTCCCATCACCTCCCTTTTATCCTCCTCGGAGATGCAGGGGCTGCTGGGCCTGGCCTCAGGAGACAGGACACTGTTGCTTACCCACTCTTTGCCTCAGTTTCCTCATCTGCAAAATGTGGATAACAACAGCACTGCCTTCGATGAGTTATTAGAACTTTCTAGATCGTAGCACCCAGGGGCCATTCCCCCACTGCCCCACTGAACACAGGGAAAGGGCCGGGCCCAGGCAGAAAAGCAAGCACACCCGGGGCAGTGTCACCTCAAAATGTCAGTGCTCAGAGGGCAGGGCCAGATGTTCCCCAGGCATCCAGATGTCCCCAGGCATCCAGGGCCCTCCGACGCACTGGGAAAAGACGGCCGAGGCCGCCGCCTGCCTGAAGCCGGGCCGCGTGGTTCTGCCTCCTTCTGGCTCCCGGGGCCACAGGCTCCGCATCAGATACCTGGACGTCGGGCCAGGCCCTTGCCAGGTGTGTCATTCCTGCCCTCACGGGGCTCACAGTCCTGCGAGTGAGGCAGATCATCGGGGTCTGATCATGAGGTGAGACACCCAGGAGAGGACCTGCTGGGCGTCAGGGAGGGCTTCCAGGGGAAGAGGCCCCGAGGGGAAGGGCTGGAGTCAGAGGGAGGAAAGGAGACCCAGGCAGAGGCCACGGCTTGGGCAAAGGCCCAGAAGGGAGAGAGAGGCGGGTTCAAAGAGCTATAAGCTCTCCCAGCTCCCCCAACGGGCGCAGTTTACCAAGCACCATCACCTATACCAGGGGGCCCCCAACTCCCGGGCCACAGACTGGTACTGGTCCGTAGCCTGTTAGGAACCAGGCCACTGGTGAGCTGCCGGCCAGCGAGCGAAGCTTCATCGGTATGTGCAGCCGCTCCCCAGCGCCAGCATCACCGCCTCAGCTCCACCTCAGATCATCAGGCGTTAGATTCTCATAGGAGCACCGGTCCCTGGGGCCAGAAAGATTGGGGACCGCTGACCTACACCATCTCACTTGGTACCCACAGCCCCTCCCCCACAGAGGTCAGATGGCAGGAGGCAGGAGCTCTCGTTCCCAACTCACATGTGGTGGGGAGATCAGTTCTAAGAAAGAAAGCGCCAATTCCTGGCTGGGACCAAAGCCCACATCTCCTGACTCCTGGCTCAGGTGAGAGAATCAAGATGCGAGACTGGGCCCGATCCGTCTGCCAAATGCTCAGGCGGGCCCATTATCGTCACCCCCATTTTACAGATGAAGAAACTGAGGTTTATTGAAAACACAACATCCCTCCAGGGCTGCCGGTTTTTTTTTTCCTCTCTGTAGGAACCTAGGACAAGTCTGAGGTGCCAGGATGCCCTCCCCAGGTGGGGCAGGAAACAAAATCCGGGGGACTCTCCGGTGAAGAAAGAAAGGAAGCCGAGATGGGTTGGAAAACAGACACCAAGAAGGGAAAGGCGGAGGAGTATGGGTGGGGACCGGGTGGGCCTTTGCAGGAGGCAAGTCGGGATGGGGCCCAGGGCCCTAGGCAGCCCCCTCACTCACTCCCCGGGTAGGACCCCGACTTCCCGGAAGACACCACCCCCCAGCGGGGCGGGGAGAAGGACCACCGCCTCCTGGCTGCCCAATCAGACGCACTCCCAGTCTGATGGGGGAGGCGGCCAGGGCGGAGGGCTCCCAGGCCTTCCCGGAGGGGGCCCCCCACCCCGACCTGCCCCAGCTCGGCGGCCCACCGCCCACCGCCCACTCCCCCACCCCAGCCTCATTAGCACCGACGCCCGTCGTCCTCCCCTCGGCTTCCGGTGGCTCCAGAATTTAAAGGTTAAATCCTAACCTCGTCTCAGCAGTTTCTCCCGGCTTTGCCTACCCAGCGCCAGTTGCTGGTAATTATATGCATCTCCGAGCAGCCAATCAGCTGTCAGACTGACAGATACTGATCTTTTCGTTTTATTTTTAGCTCTGTGCTTCCCCCTCTAGTTGCAAAAAAAAATTCTGTTTGTTCTGTACGCCGCTGCTTGGCTCCCAGCTCTGCGGCCAGCTCTCATCTCCACCAGCCAGGCGGGAGCAGGCAGCCGGAGGGGCTGAAGCCTCCTGTCCTTCCAGAAAAAGGGACACAAACGCACCGCTGTCCCCCAGCTGCGCCCCCCGCCCCAGGCTGCGATGGGGAAAGGAGGAGGCTGGGTGCTGCATACAGAGGCACCCTGGGGGCTAACGGAGTTGGAGAGGAGCTGTACTTGGCCTTGCGGCCAGGCATGGGAAGGAAGCAAGTCCTCACCTGCAGGCTAGAGGCTAGGAGAGAGAGGCAGGGGGTGCTGAGACACAGAGACGTGCAGAGACAGAAAGCTAGGCCGAGAACAAGAAAGAGAAAGGAGTGGAAGGTAAAAAGACAAGCTCTAGCCC